GTTAAAGATAATTTCCATAATCATTTCAAAAGTGAATTAAAGGAGATTTACTGTATTTTTTAAGACCATGAAAAAGGAAAGAAAAATAACACAAGGTAGAGAATTCATGAATAGGTAATCACTTTCTACAGACAATAAGCAATGTTCCAATAAGCCCTGAGAAATAGCTAATTAATTTTCCAAGTGAGCAAACATTATTTTGTAGCCCTGTAGACCAAAAGAGGAATCCAGAGATAGTGAATAGAAATGTGTTCATAATGTTCAAAAGAAGATTAAAAGGGTTCTTGGTCCTTATTCTTTAGCTACTTCAAATCCTATCAAAATAATAGAACCTGAATTAACACAAAAATTTTTTTACAGTCTTGGAAAATAAGGAAGCAATGAGTAGCTTTTATTTATGAATAGTCAATTGGTTTGAATAAATTTGATGGTTTGTTGATGAAGTTATAAAATGAAGACAACCCAAAACACTCTAAATTCAATGCTTTGCTGATAATAAAGTCCTCCTCACTATATTAATTTAAGATGGCTTAGGTAACTAAAGTCACCTAAGACTGCAACTGAAGGAAAAACAGAGATAGGTCATTTAAGGAAAAGGCATAAGGCAATAAAAGCTCTAGAAATTGGAGGATGGACCAAATAAACCCCAATAATTTAGAAAAAGTGGGTGTATACTAAGGAATGAATTAAAAATTTCCAAATACCTGAATCTTGAGTTACTGCAAATATGAGAGTGTAGATAAATACCACTAGGAAATGAGGTGAGATCTTGGCAAATAAAAATCATCTGGAGAAAATTTTTTAAAAGCTTGATCAACGTTGAACCCAAAATTTGGTAGAAACCTTTACAGTGGTTAACAATACTTCAGAAATCCTGAGTATCAGCTGGGGTGGAAGGAACTGGGAGGGTAGGGTCTTTAGGAGAAATCTACTTGAAGGGATTGGTAATACAGTATGATAGTAAAGAATTGTGGCACCCAGTGAAATTAATTTTACTGCACTTAAAATACTCAGAATGAATATAACAGTAATGACAAAACTCAACTGATATTTAATATGGCTGAATTTTAAATTGCACCTTCTGTTGTACATGTCTATTTCCTTTCAGATTATACCCCACCAAACTGAAATCAACAGAAACTTAAGATCTTTTCCCTAATGGACTAAAGAATATTCAGGGGCGCCTGGGTGGCTTAGTCGGTTAAGCGTCCGACTTTCGCTTAGGTCATGATCAAACGGTTAGTGGGTTCGAGCCCCGTGTCGGGCTCTGTGCTGACTGCCAGCTCAGAGCCTGGAGCCTGTTTCAGTCTGTGACTCCCTCTCTTTCTGATCCTCCCCTGCTCACGCTGTCTCTCTCTCTCTCTCTCCTAGAAATAAATAAAACATTAAAAAAAAAAAAGAATATTCAAAGATCCAGCAGCCTCTCCTAGTGCTGCTTCTGATTTTTCCTTTCCTCTTCAGTGATGGGTTTTCTTTGACCTGAAGCTCCCCGGGCCCAAAGTTCTCCTTGAAAATATATCTGAATAGAAGGGTCCTAGTCATACCTTAGGTGATTTGGGTTCTTTTAATCATATATAGGTCTGTTGATTTATAGTTATGAACCCATATAATGGGCATATTCTGGTGTTTGTAGGGCAATGTCTTCAAAGAGACTCTATGGGATATGTTGCATATTTGAACTGGAATCAAACTTTTTTTTTTCTGTAGATGCAGTAGTATCTTAAATGGTAAGAACCTCAACATACTGATGGTTTTCATGTCTGGTACTGAGTGTCAGCCAGTTTGTGTTAGTTATTCTTTCCTCAAATCCATAAAATTAGCAAATAAGAGACTCTTGGTGTGTGTGGGAGGGTATAAAAATAAATAAGCCCACTGGCCACCACAATGTAATAAAAAAGTATCACTGTCCTTAACATCTCTCAAGCTATTGATGATTCTTTCTATATCATAGTCTACTTTGGCAACTCTTTGAAATTACAATTTGTCTTTGGTCCTGGAGCGTCTCTAATCCAACTGTGTGCTTTTACAGATAAGGAGATAAAGGCTTTGCAGGGTACAGTGGTTTAGCCCAAGTGGCATTGTCAGTAACTGCAGAGACTGCAAGAAAGTTCCTGCCAACTGGGCTCTATTTTAGTCCTTGAAACATTCTGCTACCATTTCTCTCTTCTGTTCACCTTTTTGCTCCAAAGTTACTGTTGGTATTCAAACAAACAAACAAACAAAACAAAACAAAACAAAATTTTAAAAAGGAGCCTAGAAATAATTACCTTAAAAAAGCTAGGTGTGTATGCACATGATGTGTATTTGTATTTCAAATAACAATTCAATATATCAATATATTTCCTCCACTTGCATACATTATTATGCATTTAAAATTGAGCATTTACATCATGAAAAGATTTCCATTGTCAATTGCTATGCTGTTCTGACAATATTATGATGAACTGTATTCTATGTAAAACACTAAAAATATCTTATTTTAATCAGTCATCCAGGTTTTATTTAGCCTGTACCCAATTTTACATGATTTTAATTATTGAAAATTCAAATACATAAGATTCAACATTTACTAGCATTTCATCTTTGGAATTTATTTAGGAAATGAAGTATTGCTTTGTGGTTTCAGAAAAAATTAATAAATAAATCTGAATAGATGGTAATTTCATGTTCATTTCAGAGAGATTTAGCTACATTAGCAGTGCTATTTCCCAACACCCATAATCTTCTAAATTGACTTATTTGATGCTCTTCAGATCTATTTTTCTTAAGACTTAGATTTTTATCTCTGTTGCTGCTTTTGAAATGCTCTCTATGATTGTGAATCTATCTAATGTAATTTTCACATTTGGTGTCATTTTTTCCCAAATGACAATACAGGGCAGGAAGAATCATTTGGCATTTCTTCATACCAGTCTAGTAGTTTGATTCAAAATATGGGTGAAATATAAGGAAAACAGAGAAAGAGTTGAAGATCTCTTAGTAAGAAAACCTTGTGTTAAAATCAAACAGATGGACTGTGAGAGGTAAGCTGTGGAGTAGGATAGGGGGATAAAAAAAAAAATCACAGCAGAAATGAGCCTCTGAGCAGTAAAGAACTGAGGAACCAAGAGCAGCTCTGTTCCCTTTTATTAATACTTTCTCTCGGAAACCTTGTCTCCACTTTGGCCCCTTTCATCTTCAGTCTGTGTGCTAGCACCTTCTCAGCACCTCACTTAGCGTTTCTTAAAGGAGTTCAAGTACTACCACTGCTAATGCTAATACTAATCACATACAGATTTCAAAATTTTCAATAACGTCTGTATTTTTATTTGGCAATGTTTGAAAGGGCTCTGGGGGAGCCCACTATGTCAGGATAAAGGATCTGCTCTGAAGACAGTGTATCCTATGGCATTGTGCATATTCATTTCTATCAATAGTGTTTTTCTTGGGTTCAAGCTAAGTTGAAAAGGGGGAAGTCTGTTAAAAATAAAACGTGTGTGTGTGTGTGTGTGTAAAATGTGTCAACATTATTCTCTCCTTGTCTCTTGCACACATGTAATTAAGCCTCTAGGAAAAAAGTCTCACCTCTTATCCAGGTGAAGCAGAATTTTGAACTTTGGAGCAAAATGATAGTGGGGATCAGTGTACGTCCTCTATAACTCAACAATATTTGAGGTGCCTTTAAACAATTGCCCTGATTTCGGGGCAGACATCTCACCCCTGCTTCCTCTCACTGGGACAGGAAGAAGTCAGTGTAAGCCATTAGTAGTCTGGGAGTGTACTTTTCTTAACTGGATAATTTCGTTGACCCGCTGTCACTTGGCCTGAATTCGCCCCAGTTGAGAATGCCCAACTGGAGTCTTGGCCCAGCGCCTAGGATTGGTGGCTATACTTTCCCAGATGCACACCCTCGCCATCCTTGTGCAAAACTGAATGTTCCCAAGTCTGAGAACATACCTCCAGGTATGTCAATCCCGGCCGCGCCTCTCTAGAAGGCGATCTCTGCAGAGCAACCCAGAATCTCCGGAGGAATCTCATCAAATCACAGTTGCCGACGGGAGTGAGTTTGATCTCCTGCTAGGCTTCCCAGCTGCTTAGTTCCAGACAAGCCCGGAGCATACAAAAATATAAATAAATAAATAAATAAATACTAGTACCCATGAGTCACCTCAAGAAGCCTGCTTTCCCCAACCTTCCCCGTGCAAGGAAGGGGAATAATCCTCCCCGGGATTTGCCCAAAGTGGCGAGGGGAGGGTTAACATTTGCTTTGTTATTGAGCGAGAGAAGCAAGTATGCCTTGAGAGAGAGAGGAAGAGAGAGTTGTTTTGCAGCCGAATACTAGCAGGGGAGAGGAATAGGGAGAGGCCGGTGCCCCTGCTCCCCTCGGGGCCTCAGGGGCGGCACACGCCGTAGTTCCCTTCCAGAGCCTTACAGATTTCCACAAACAATGACATCACTCCGGCGCTGCCGACCAGATTACAGCTAGGGGGATTTTCCTGGGAGCTAGGCGGGCCTGGGTGGAGAGATGGAGGAGCTCTCCAGGGTTCTGAAAGGGGCGGGGGCGCGGGCTCGCAGCTCAGCGCCCCCCGCCGGCGGAGGCGGACCGGCCGGTCTGGGGGCGGGCAGGGGTGGGCCTGGGGCGGTCCAGGGCGGGGCCCGTCGCATATCCGGCTCTCATTGGCTGCTGGCGGGAGCACGTCAGCCAGGCTGGTGCTCTCTTCGGTCCCCAGTGGAATTGGAGCCGAGGAGGAGCTGAAAATGCAGATTTAGCCTCAAGCACAGACATACACTCGCTCTTTCTCTCAGATACACACAGCTCCCCACATTTGCACCTCTGCCAGCGAGACTGACTTCACGGCTTCCCCACCAGCCAGATGCTGGAGGAGAACACACATTAATTTGCTGCTTTCCGAGCCCCCTAATCAGTCTCTTTCTCTACACAAAGATTTTTTTAAAAAACAAACAAAAAAACTATATATATATTTTTATTTGCACCTTTGCTCCGAGTCCCCCGCTCCACCTGCCTGCGCGCCTCCTAGCACCACTTTTCACTCCTAAGAAAGATGAAAGGTGGCTGTGTCTCCCAGTGGAAGGCGGCCGCCGGGCTTCTCTTCTGTGTCATGGTTTTTGCATCTGCCGAGAGACCGGTCTTCACGAATCATTTTCTTGTGGAGTTGCATAAAGGAGGAGAGGAAGAAGCTCGCCAAGTTGCTGCAGAACACGGCTTTGGAGTCCGAAAGGTAAGATCTCCCTTGCATTTCGCATGTTGTTTCAAAACGGGGGCAGCCCTGCGCAATCTCATTGCAGATTTGCAAGTTTTCTTTCTCATGCGATGCAGATATTCTGCCATGGGCTCTTTAACACGACATTGCCTCCGGTGATCTTTCACGGGTTATGTAATTAAAATGTCCTTCAAATTGTACTAGTAAGGTCATAAAAATAATTTATTGCTCTTTGACTTGGTGGCGAAAACAAGATAACACCTTTCTAACAATGCCTTGCGCCCGGGCTGCTGTCCGAGGTACCAAGTTCTCAAGGCTGCTTGGGGATGGGGGAGTGAAGTGCTGAGCATCTGGGCTTGACGTTAGCATTCTTTGCCAGGGATGTATCCCCCGCCCCCATCCCCTGGAGAAAGAGTAGTTTCCTAGGGACAAGGCTAAAAGCTTGGACATTGCAATTCACCTCCGAGCTTTTCAGACTCCGCGCTAGGAGGACTTCCCTCCCGGTGACTTCGGCCCTTGTTCCTTAACAGCTCTCTGGCTCCAGGGGACTTGGAGACCTGAACTGGGTTTTCTTTCCAAAATCGGGGTGGAACTTCTCGCCCTTGCCCCTGCCCACGAGCGCCCGGTCCCGAAGCGTATTCCTAGTTTTCTCTCTGATTCTCAACTCACAGCTTTAGAAGCTGAAAGGCAGATTTTTAGAGGAATTCCCATGGAGAAGTTGGGGTGTCTCTCCTGGTGTGTGGGCGGCCAGCATGGCTTTCCCACGAGTGCGCGGGGATCCTCATTCCAAGAAGTTGTCAGAGTTCAACTGCTCGGGCAGCTGGATAAGGCTCCCAACCTAAGACGTCTTGGGACTCCTTTTGTGACTCCAGGGTATCCATTCTGGGAGGCAGCGGAGAGCAGAGTGCTGGGCGGGGGGCCGTGGCTTACCTACTTGTCCTTCTTACGAAATATCTTGTCAGAAATCGCAAATGTCCTTAGGAGACCTGGCGAGAGGTGGGGTGGAGTGAGGGTGCACGGAGAAACCGGACAAGGGGAGCGTGGAAGACGTAGGGATGCGATTTGGCAACCAGAGGGCCGGGTGGAGGTCTGTGGGATTCGGGGCCCTATCTTCTCCCTCCTGATTCCGGCAGAGGGGCTGGAGAGGAGCGGTGGGTGCCGTCTTTTGTTGTTTTTGCCTCTCAAGGGCAGCGCGAACTAGGTCTCCTATCAGTCCCTCTGTCCGGACTTGCCATGCCTCCCGTCTCCCTCCCAGCCGCGGCTCCCTCACGAGCAGCTGGCTCTCCCTCCCCGGTAGGGCGTTGGCAGAAGCGATTTCGACTCCAGGTGGGTTTCGCCGCAAGTAAGACTGGTCTGGGAGGAGAAGCCCGCAGGGTCTACGAGTGGCGCGCGGGCGGGACTTGTTGCTTCCGGGAAGCGTGGGTGGAGCAGGGGAGAGAAGATGCGAGCTGAGGGAGTAGCCGGCTGTGGTTCTGGCCCAGGGTCTGGGGCTGTTTCAAGAGTTTGTGTCTATTTCAACACAATAAATAAACAAACAAACAAACCTTTCTTCCTTCTCACCCCATGCCCCTAACTTGTTAGGAGGCAAGATTCAGGACCCAGGAGCCATAAATATAACAGTGATTGTAACAGTGATTATTATTACCTTACAACAATGGAGCACCCTTATGTGCTGGAGTCCTTACACATCTTCTTATTTAATATGCTCAACCACTCTGAGGAAGCTACTATTATTAAGTTCATGGTACTGATAAGGACATTGGTTCAGATCATGGCCCAAGGTAAAAACAACCAGATCTGGATTTAAACCCAGATCTTTCAGAAAGAAACTCATGCTCTTTACCTTTTAGTACATATCAAACAGGCTAAGTGTTCTGCAAAATGCGTTGAGCTTTGAGGTGTGCTGAAAAGGGATATGGCATCAAGCTTTTTAGTTTTTGACTCTAAAGGGGCTGCAGCTGATGCAGGAATACCTGCTACTCTCTCCCCATACCATGCATCTTTTCATAGTGAAGGCAGACTATTGCTACCTTCTCTTTACTTCCTTTTTGGACAATAATGTCCTTTAGGATCTTAGCAACTTAAGCAAATCCAAGTGTAGCTAAGACAGAAAATGGCTTGACTTGACTTATTAATTCTCCAACAGGTCTTTTTTTTTTTTTTTTTTTTTTTTTTTAGTATAGAGGTAAAGAGCTTAATGAGGGATTTATAGTTTTGATGGTGGAGTTTGAGAAAGGAAGGGTAGGGACAATCTCATCATAAATATATCTGGATAATCTTGATATACTTACTGTGAAATCTCAGGGAATGCATACGTTGGGGTATAATCAGATACCTAAGTCTCTTTCATCTCTACTCTTTATTTGAGAGGAGACCACTGGTTTTGAATCAGCCTCAAACATGCAATTTCTATCTGGGAAAAATGAGCTTTTACCTTGCCACCTCTCCTCACCTCTCTATAACCTCTCAAAAATAGTATCTCTTATCCAAATGATTTTTGTTCTGATACATAGTTAAGTTAAAAAACCTATCTATGTGACAATGCTTCTGCCTGACAAATCTTTGCATGATGTCACACCTGTGTGGAAGGAGCCCTCTTTTCCTTCCCTGGGTTTGTGTCCCACCCATCCTTCAAGACTGAGCTCCAAACCTTCCCTGATGCTATGAACCACAATGTGCTCTCTCATCTTCAAATTTCCATGGGATGAAAAAGCAAAGCCTATATGACATAAGCTAGTACATCCCATCACTCTTCCTTCAGTCATTTTATATATGTAAGTAAATGTGGATGTAAGTATTATCTTTCCACTTAAAAGGTAAATATTCAAGGATCATAGCCTTTATATTTCTAGTTTCCTCACCATAGCCAGCCTATTACTGGGTTTGCCAGCCTGTAAGGAAACTTCCTTAGTTTCTGTTCCTCCAGGTTTCTCACACACTGTCCTGTCTTGTTTTCATCATGCTGTACTGCACTTTTGTTACTTTTTTTTTTCATTTTAAACCCACAATACGTTCTTCTCTTCCTCTCTCTAACACTTAGCGTATCTTCCAGCTCCCTATTGCCACATCTTCTCCAATGCTTAGGGTCAGATACCAAGGATCCTTGGTGATTATTTATTCATCCAAAAGAAGGGTCAGCTATGCAGACTAGGGGAACCTGCCATTTTATTAAGTTATCCCATCTAACCTCACAAACCTGTGAGGTAAAAATTGCTGCCATCAGACCTAATTTTCAGATGAAAAACTTAAAGCTCCAAGCAGTTAAGCTTGTATCTGGAAAGTGAAAAATCTCAGATTTAAAACCAAATTTGTTTTGTGGAAAATAACTTTGTTTTTCTACCAAACTGCCTCCAGGAAACCTTCATGGACAGCCAAGAACTCTACTCTCGGAGCACCATTTTAGAGTTCTGATGTTTTCCCTTTCCTTTCTTTTTAATTTTTGCTATATCCAGCACCTATTTGGTATTAACATATAAACCTATGTCATTAACAGATGTATATGAGTATATATGTAGATCATAAATCTTCCAAGAGGAGAAACAATATACTATGTCTTCTTATAGTCCTATATTTAGCACAGTGGTCTATTAATGAGATATTAAATGAATATCTATTGATTATTTTGCCAAACTCTTGCAAGGCCATGACCAAACAAATATATTTCCTCCTTAAATGGAATAAAAATACCCATAACTTTACTGTCAGAAAGGTGTATTGAGACTAAAGTTTTCTATTTTATTGTGACCTGGTTCAAAGATATCTGTTCATCAAAAAAGATGTATAGACATATGCATATGTCTAAAAGAGTGTGTGAGTTGAAAATAACATCAGAGGTGTTTTTCCAAAGAATGACTTAAAAGTCTTAATACAATAGTAATTCTAAACCTCTTGGAAGAAGAACAAAAAATATTTATTAAAGCAATATGTTGAAGGTTACCCAAAAATCAAGTAAGAATTAAGGTGAAAATCCAAACAAATGACAATTAAGTGTTTTTGTTTTGCTACAGTAGGTTTTGGTTTTTGTCCAGCTAGGACTGAGACTAGGATAATTACACAAGTAAAATCATGTGACCACTTTTTATATGGGTGATCTTTGCATTTTATTTTTTTTTTATTATTTTTTTATGTTTTATTTATTTCTAGGAGAGAGAGAGACAGCGTGAGCAGGGGAGGGTCAGAGAGAGAGGGAGTCACAGACTGAAACAGGCTCCAGGCTCCGAGCTGGCTGTCAGCACAGAGCCCGACGCGGGGCTCGAACCCACGAACTGCGAGATCATGACCTAAGTGAAAGTCGGACGCTTAACCGACTAAGCCACCCAGGCGCCACAGCATTTTAAAAAGCCTAGTAATAATTTTGCTGGTATACAATAAAAGAATAGACTTCTTTCCATTTTAATTGACTTTTTAATTTAATTTAATTTTTAATTGAATCTAATGTTAAAATTAATTTTTTAAACTTTATTGAAATATAATTTAAGAAAGAACACAGATTTGTAAACTTTCACAAACTGGGCACATATATGTAATGAGCATCTAAATCAAGAAACAAAATATTACCCATACCCCATAAGTTCCCCCTCTTGCTCATTGGGTAGTTTTTAGTTTTAAGCTATTACGATTATTGCTTCTGTGGATGTTGTAGTGTATATATTTCATAGTGTATGCATTCCCAACATATATGCCTTTCTGTTGGGAATATCCCTAGGAGTAGAATTGTTCAGTAGAATTCAATTTTAGGAGACTGTATCAGTTTTCTAAAGCTGTGTAACAAATACTACAGAATTTGTGGCCACATAAATTTGATATTTCATAGTTTTCATAGATAAGGAGTCTGGCATGTTTTAGCTGGATCTTCTACTAAAGGGCTTACAGGTAGAAATCAAGACACTGGCCAGCTATGTCCTCATCTACAGGCACATCTAAGAGGAAATCCACTTCCAAGCATATTCAGGTGTTTAGAATTCAGCTCCTTGTAGTTATAGAGCTGGAGTCATCAATTTTTGCAAGTTCCACTCAGC